TTTGAATTGCATGAGTGATTAGTTGACAGGCTGAGCAATAGGGTTATAGGGAGGTGCACTAACCAGCCATGCGCGTTGGTTAACAAAGGACCCACTATTGAGACTATCATGCGCCTACCATTATTTTCATTTAATTTTTATATTTTTGCCTAATGCTTAGGGTGCGTTTGGTTCACGGGATGTAAGATTACCAGTAGGAATGTAAGATTACTAATATGAATGTAAGATTAACAGGGAATATGATTACTGGGAATGTTGTATTTTGTATTTGTTGGCTTAGCAGGAATGTAAGATTACCGTGTTTGGTTAAAGGAATAAAAGATTATTGGAATGTATATTTGACCAAATTGTCCTTATTATATATTTGTTTTTTTAACAAGTTGGAAAATATTTATATATTTTCTTTAAAAAATTTAAATTCATAAAATTTATATAATTTTTTTACAAAATTGAAAATATAAAAAGGTTTAATGAAAGGGTAAAATTTTATTTTAACCCCTGAACTTCATATAAAATTTTAATTATAGATTTTTTTGTAAATCTAAAATAGTTTAAGGATAAATTTGTAATTTAACCTTCATAGAATTTTTATTATTCAATGACAGAAGAATGATATTTTTGAAAAAAAAATTAAGGGCATTTTAGTCCAAAACACTGGTAATCCAACAATACCTAAGAAAAGGGAGGTAATGACATTCCCTGTAAAATACCCAAAAAAATCTACTATTGGTAATGTTACATTACCGGGAATAGGATTCCCGGGCTAACCAAATGGGGGAATGTGGATTCTATTCCCATGAGAATCTCACATTCCTCCATCCAAAAAACCCTTAGAAAAATCATTATTGCAATAATTTTAGAGGGTGACTTTGATCCTAAAAATAAAAGTTGTTGGACCAGTTAAATCAAGTACATCTGTGCATAACCGAAATCTTTTTTCCAGGGAAATGTCCCTATACTTTTTCTTTAAGCACTTTAGTCCCTTAACGTTTGATATAAAATGTTTAATCCTTCAATATGTGTCAGTGACATGATAAGTTCCATGTATCTAAAATAATGGCGTGACACATATCATATGCAATTAAAAATAACATAATACATGTCATGTGTTCAAAGTTAGATAACTTAACCCTATTTTTTTCTAATCTTGATTTTGTTCTTGCTAACTAAATACTTAAAGTTTTAATATTATACCAACAAATGACTTAGGATCTGGTCTAATTGGGGACAACATTGGCAACCTAAAATTTTCAACGTATCTAAATGTACAATTTACAAAAGTTAAGTACAATGACATAAAATACGTTATTGAATTTATACTGACATCCCCACTATGAAATTATTGGGAATGAGATAAAAATTAGAAGAGAGAATTAAAGCGAAGCACGAGACATGAAAAGAAAGAGTGGTTTACCTCTGTCTAATGAGATTGTTGACCGTATGGTCCTCTCAACCGCACTCACCACCATGGGATTTTGGTCTTGGGACCTTTAGGGAAATTAAAATTTAAAAATTTATTTAGGAATCAAGATAAAATTATAAAATTTCGAAAGGATTAAAGATCAATAGTCACCACTCACTTCTGATCAAGGGAGATTAATGCCTCTTCCCTAATTACACTTTTGTTCGATCGAATTCCATTATGTCATTAGGAGTGTCAAATATGAATATGTATATGTTCTTTTCATTATTATTTTTATTATGTATATGTTATTCTCCTTAGAGATTATAGATCGAATAGATACGTATGTAGGGTTTTAGTTATTGAAGAAAGTTCTAAATAGATATTACCTTGTAATCACCTTAAATTAATTTTAAAAATAATCATCGTGTGATTATTAAATCATTTGTTGATCGAAATGAACTAAATTTCATTAAAGAATAGATATATAGAGAGAATATATCTTCTCTAATAATTTTTATCTGTCTCTTTAGTTAATAAAATTTCCCTAAATTTCGTTAGAGTAGAAATACAATTTATTTACATATAATAATTTGTTTTAGATTAATTGATCAAAATATAAGATACCAATAACTAATTCAAAAAAAATAATTGGTTTTTCTCTCTACTTTCAAATTAAATATATATCATTTAAATCAATTAGTAACTCTTGATCTATCAGATGTACTATCTTCCATTTTCAGGGATCAGTATGGATTGAGTTAGATTGGATTCTTGGTTCAATTAAATTTGATTTGTGTATTATATTCCTCTCCATCTGTCACTCAATCTGATTTTTAGGATAAAATTTACGCTCGTATCTGACCTAACTCCAACCGATACAAATATGCATATATATATATATATATATATATATATATATATATATATATATCATTTTTATTAAACAAAATAAGAACATAATTGAAAACTATAGAGATATTATTATAATCATCCCTAAATATTTAAGAGATACTTATATTATTATATCAGGTCAAATCGATACTTTTCGTACTAAACTTAAACTCGACATGATCTAACATCATCTTTCAAATAAATCTGATCCACTCATATTTAAGAAAGAGAATATTCTAATTTAAAAAATCAAGTTTTATCATAACTCAACAAATTTAAATCAAATACTAGTCCCTACCCACATTGAATCAATAATATCTCATCTCATGTCTAAATAGGTGTAAATAATTGTTAATTTTGGATGAGATTATATTACAAGAATTTCCCACCACGAAGCATTTGCTTTTATTGGTGGTTGTTTTGTTTGTGCCAAAGAGTGGTGTAAATATTTGGAAAGAGGAAAAATTAAAAAGTGGCTGACAATTGGAGTGTAAGACGTCTATCACTTGTAAATAAATAAATAAATATCCAGCATCACTTGGACTATCTGTCTGAAGAAAATAGTCATTAATCTTTCGACGCTAGGTATTGACTCAAGTCTTCAACATTTCCATCCAGGGATGGACAGAGACAAATAAAGTCTCTTTTGAAAATTTAAAATTATTATATATTTTAAATTTTTTTATATATATATTTTATTAAAAATCTGTTTTTATTATTTTAAAAAATTTTAAATTTGTCTCTTTCTAAAATTTTAAAAATTTGTCCACAGCATAAAATTATACGTCCATCTCTATTTCCATGTATATCAAAGTTGCCTCATATATAGGACAATCCCCACAAACAAGAATCTTTTTGGTACAAAACAGATCACTATGAACTCACTAAACTAAGCGGATTCATCGACTCCAATTAAAATTTGGATAAATTACAAATTGCATCACTCGAAATTGACCATATTTTCAATTTGAACTCTATTTTTGATTATTCGAATGTTAAATAAAAAATGATATAGTGAGACTGTTGATTTTATAATGACGTGGATTTTATTTTTTTATTAACATGGAAGTCACTTTCTCCCATTTAATCTATTTTTCTTTTTTATAATCACTGGTATCCGATTTATTAATCGACTAATCCGAATCGAGTACTGTAGAGACGAAGATAATCCTCCTAACCTAGTTTGCCCCATTCACAAAAACCAAAATTTGAACTCTTGATTTTGCGTAAGGGATTTAGTGACTCATCTCAGACCAACTGGTTGTTGGTATCTCTTCTTCTTTTTTGCTTTCCTCTTTCTTCCCCGTAAAGATAACTCCTAAAATTTCATTCCTACGTCACATTAACATTGGATTCATCATTCTCTGACCACACAAGAGACCGATTAACTCGTTTTAACATTCTCTATCATTCTATCAGTTTGAATTTTTCCAAAACTCTTTAAAACTTACGAATTCAATGTAAAACTTAGAGGAAAAAAACTCCAATCTATAATCTCCATTGTTCGATCAGCATAGAAATAAAAAATGTAGCTCATCTCCTCCTTCTTCAGCTCTCCACTATTGGTATCAAAGATTTTCATAGTCAAAAAAATTAGAAGAAAAACTAAAATTAGGATTTTTATATAAAAATAATAATAAGAAAATTTTGAGGTCTTTTTCATGATTTTTTTAAAAATAGATATCAGTCATAACACTGTTATAATGGTAATGGCAGAGAGATAAAAAAAGGATTATTCGAAAGTTTAATCATTAATTTTTGTTTAAAGTTTAGTGACCAGAAAAGAAATGTGGTCAAAATTGAGTGATGAAACTCTTAAATTGTAAGTAGTAACATATTCCATACGTCAGAAAGGTCTATCGTCCTAAAAGCAATCGAGTAAAACTTCAATTCAAAATGCAACTTTGCTTGGAAATAACACATCCCCACTTCAAAACTTTTAAAGATTTGATTTTCCTTCACCTTTTGCTTTATTTAGCCAAAACATTTCCCCGATGAAAATATACTCGTAAACTCTCTCTCTTTTCTGATATAAACCCATAATTCCATCTGAAAATGATTATCCACATCACAAATTGCATCTCTTGTTTCATGTATGTGAGCCCTCAATCATGCATGCATACATGCATGTCATGTGAGTAGATATGGTATAAGTACCATTCCCTATATGGCTATATGTGCATAACTCCATGCATAACAGACATGATCAGCATGCACGGACGAGTGTATGCAGTTTTGGAGGGGAAAAACTTTCAGTGGCAGATCCACCCTTGATTCAAGAACACGTATTCAATTTGAAATTTAAATTTTCTTCAATTAATTGTTCATTTTGTTGATTATGCACATCCCTTACAAAAGCTTTGTGTTACTAAATCATGTGTTCACCCTAAAAATATTTTTGGACACGTCACCGTGTATACTCGTTATTTTGGGAAAAATTGCTAAATTTAGTTTATTGTATTAAAGAGAAGAAAAGAAATAAGAAAATTTACATATATGTTTAAAAAGAATATTAAAATTTTAAACTTCATTCTTAAATTTTTAGGTCCGTGGTTTGTCTTGAGTAAGTTAATTCAAATAAATTGTCGCACTATTACTATTGTATTACATTTTGCAAGAGCGAGAGTGGGACCATGTTATCTTTTTATGTGTCTATAAGAACTCTCTTCTCCTCCAACAAGAGCTTATTAGGTGCTTCATTATCACTGATTGCCAATATTTAGTGTCTTGTTTTCCCTTCAGTTCCCTCCCCAAGTCATGCAACCTAGAGAGATTTCAAGGCTCCAATATATGGTACCTTTGATTCCGTCCCCGTATTCGGCCCCAGAATTCGATTTGAGTCGATTCTTGAATCCCCTGCATAATCTCTACACCCCACCTCAACTTCAGGAACTCATTCGTCCCCATTCATCATGTATCAACAGCAACTCGACCTCCGACGAGGCCGACGAGCAACAACTATGTGTCATCAACGAGAGGAAGCAAAGGAGGATGATATCGAACCGGGAGTCCGCGCGCAGGTCGCGTATGCGCAAACAAAGGCACCTTGACGAGCTCTGGTCGCAGGTAGTCTTGCTCCGGAATGAGAACCACCAGCTCATCGATAAGCTGAACCATGTCTCGGAAAGCCATGACAAGGTCGTCCAAGAGAATGCTCAGCTCAAAGAGGAAGCCTCTCAACTCCGTCTGCTACTCTCCGATATGCCACTCACTAGCCCTTACTCGACTTTACGAGACCTCGAACACGCTTTAGCTGACGACTCTCAGTCGTAAACCCTGTTTCATCCCCCAAATTTTATCTAGTCCGTTTGGTGTAAGTGAACCAGTACTCTCTGTGCTTACTTTGCCACTGCCTAGCTTTCTAAGATTGTATAAGATTTGAAGGCAATGAGAATAACACGTTTGATCATTTCATTTCATTTTCTTTTGAGTCCCTAATAACTGTTTAAATTGCCTGATAGGTACTCATATTTTTATATTTTTTTATAAACAATATGAGAGAGATAAATATGTGAGGTCAGGAGTACTGTGAAAAGGAGCCATAAGTGGCATCAGGTGGGGGAAGAGTAGGACTGAAATGACACGAAGGAAAGGTGGTGGGGTTGATTCATCATACAGAGACTCACTACCATAAAATGAAATTTCTATAAGATTCTTGCTTAATACTACATCCTGATGTTATGGTTATTATTTTATGATTTTGACTTTCTCTTACGTCAATTTTCGTGATCGATATGTATCATCAATATACAGAGCTAGAATATTTTTTGACATTCATCTTGATCACAATGACAATAAATGTGACACAAAGGAGAATATGTATGTGATCGTAATCTAAATCAATTCCTAGGAGTTTCCCTTGGGAACACTTCCACTTGGCCTGGTTATACAAAATCAGTGGACAAATCCAGGCAAATTTTGGGTCTTGGATTTAATAATAATCCAAAGTATCATCAGCATGAGGATATAAGATGGTTGGTAATTTGGAATACGCTGACGGTCAATCGTTGATCGTAATAATATTAATATTAAAACGTTCATTTTTTTCAGATTAGTATCTGTGAAATTTATTCAAAATCAACAAAAATACATCTAAAGGTTCAAAATGTTAATACTTTGATCTCCTTTAACGATCGTTCGATGAGATTAATTTTGAGGTATGTTGTTCTTCTTAAAAGAATGTTTCTCATCTTTTGAATTTTTAAACAAATATCTCAACTTCAAATTCGAAAAAAAGTCTTCAAACCTAAAAAAAACAGATCTTGTGTTTAATTTCATAAGCTGTGAAGAGGTTTTGATAAAATCTAAACCGATAAAATGATAGAAGACAACAAAAAAAATTCATCGGTGTTTAAAGTGACCGTAAAAGACATCAAATAATGATTATTTTTTATTACGATTAAAAATAAATAAAAATATCCTAATTTTGATTAATAAAATGATGAGATGAAATTTAAGAAAAATAAATAAATTTTGACTTATCATTAAACTATCACACCATATGACATGTTAACAATCCAATGATATAATTGAAGTTAAAAAATTAAAATTTGATAATATAATTTAATTAATTTAAAGTTTATGACAAAATTGATATAAATATTAAAATTCAATATATTTGATATAGTTCACCTAAACATCAATACACCCATTATTTTATTTCTTTAGAAAACATATAATTTTATTGTGTACTTGATACAATGTAGAAGATCATTGAATTTTTTTTGGAGTTTTTGAGTTTTGAGTACAATTAGTTGAAAATTAAGTGGGAGTCCATGTGAAAAAAATAAGAAGGGTGCGTTTGGTTCACGGAATGTAAGATTATCAATAGGAATAAAAGATTACCAGAGAATATGATTACTGGGAATGTTGTATTTTGTGTTTGGTTGGTTTAACATGAATGTAAGATTACCATGTTTGGTTAAAGGAATAAAATATTATTGGAATGTATATTTTATCAAATTGTCCTTATTATATATTTGTATAATATTACAAATTATAAAATATTTATATATTTTCTTAAAAAAATCAAATTCATGATATTTATATAATTTTTTTATAAAATTAAAAATATAAAAAAAGTTTAATGAAAGGGTACAAATATTTTTTAACTCCTGAACTTCATATAAAATTTTAATTATAGATTTTTTTTGTAAATTTAAAATAATTTAAGGATAAATTTGTAATTTAACCTTCGTAGAATTTTTATTATTCAATGACAGAATAAGAATATTTTTGAAAAAAAATAAAAATTTAAGTGCATTTTAGTCCAAAGCGTCAGTAACGTTACAATACCTAAGGAAATGGATATAATGACATTTCCGGTAATATATCCCAAAAAATTTACTATTAATAATAAAACATTACCGGAAATAAGATTCCCGGCCTACCAAACAGCCGAAGGGTAAATTGTCACTGTGCAGGTTGTTTCACCTACTGCCACTAGTAGTTGAGATTAGTCAAATTTGACCAAACGGCTCTTGCCATTTAATTCCTTTATATATTCCCTTTTATACACATATCTGCCCGAGTTCCGAGTACCCAATTGTCTATTTTGTTTCGAAGTTCAGATCTTTGATTCATCCTGGTTTTCTTTTTTATCAGAACAGTGAAAGATTGAAAGGTTTGGGTTCGTTTTCTTATGTTGAAATCTCAATAAAGTTTGAAGCTTTTTCATCTGTTGGTTTGATCCTGCATGACTGTCTTTTTAGCCAACAGTTCCTGCATGAAATAGTTTTTTTTATTTGATTGAGCTGATCTGCGTTTTCTAGATATTCCCCCTGTTAGTTCGTGCTTGCAATTTGAATGATTTCAAGATTTAAGTTGTTAAATGTGGTTCAGAATTTGGTTGTTCTAAATGTGCTCAGATTCAATTTTTTTAAACTAGGGTTAGTTGATGAGCTTGTAAAACATGAACATTTTAATGGGGATGAATTATCTTGTCTGATCTGAATGTAAATAATTTGTGGTTTTACAGTAAGATTTTAATTCATACATGAGTTGAATCTGCAATAAGAAGGTATTATTCAGTCTCCTGTATTTCATTTTAGTTTTGCATCTGTTAACTTTAGAAGTGGCTTCAGAACAATCTTTTTTGCGCATTTAATCGGTTTTTCTTTTGTCGAAACAGTCGACTTTTTGTCTAATGGATCTTAAATTTGTGACCCAAGTGGTACATTTTGCTTGTAAGAGTTCATAGAAAGTGCCGGTTTGCTTATTTAGTCAAGGATTTCGATGGCTGTATCATGAAAATGCTGGTCGCCTTTTACCTGTTAACCTTATCTGGAATGTCCCAGATGGTCTGTGCGGACAAGATTACTTTTAGTTTTGCACCTATCCATTGATGATTTATGTGTAAAAAGTTATTTCCTTGTTTTAGATTTTTCTTCGTTATCGAATCTTTTTTCCTTTTGCGTCTCATTAATTATGTCGAAATTGAACAGGAAGAAATATGGCTCCACCTACAAGAATAGGGCTTTCTGGTTTGGCTGTTATGGGTCAAAATCTTGCACTTAACATTGCTGAGAAAGGCTTCCCCATTTCTGTTTATAACAGAACTACCTCTAAAGTCGATGAGACTGTCGAAAGAGCTAAACAGGAAGGAAATCTTCCTGTATATGGTTTTCATGATCCTGAATCATTCATTCAGTCAACGAGAAGAGATGTCGGGACAGGGTTTGTTGTACCTTGGGATGGGAGTCTCGGGTGGTGAAGAAGGTGCACGGAATGGTCCCTCTTTAATGCCTGGAGGGTCCTTTGAGGCTTACAAATACATTGAAGATGTTCTTCTAAAGGTTGCAGCTCAAGTTCCGGATAGTGGTCCATGTGTGACTTACATCGGCAAAGGTGGATCCGGTAATTTTGTCAAGATGGTTCATAATGGAATTGAATATGGAGATATGCAGCTGATTGCGGAGGCTTATGACGTGCTAAAATCTGTTGGAAAATTATCGAATGAAGAACTACATAGTGTTTTCCGGGAATGGAACAATGGGGAGCTTTTGAGCTTCTTGATTGAAATCACTGCTGATATATATTTGGAATTAAGGATGACAAGGGAGATGGTTATTTAGTCGATAAGGTTTTGGACAAAACTGGCATGAAAGGTACTGGTAAATGGACTGTACAACAAGCTGCTGATTTATCTGTCGCAGCTCCAACAATTGCAGCTTCTTTGGATTCAAGGTTCCTTAGTGGGTTGAAGGAGGAAAGAGTTGAAGCTTCCAAAGTCTTCAAATCAGGAGGATTTGGCGATATCTTGACCGACCAAGTTGTGGACAAGGCAAAATTAATTGATGATGTAAGGCAAGCACTTTATGCATCCAAAATTTGCAGTTATGCTCAGGGCATGAATCTCATTCGTGCAAAAAGCATCGAGAAGGGTTGGGACTTGAAGTTGGGGGAACTGGCTAGGATATGGAAGGGAGGCTGCATTATCCGAGCTATTTTCCTTGACAGAATCAAGAAGGCGTACGATAGAAATCCTGAACTTGCAAATCTTCTTGTTGATCCCGAGTTTGCAAAGGAAATCATTGACAGGCAATCTGCTTGGAGAAGAGTTGTTTGTCTTGCTATCAACTCAGGTATTAGCACTCCAGGCATGTCAGCCAGTCTGGCTTATTTTGACACTTATAGAAGGGAACGAGTACCGGCTAATTTGGTTCAAGCTCAACGAGATTATATTTTGGTGCCCATACTTATGAAAGGGTCGATATGGACGGATCTTTCCATACTGAATGGTTCAAGATCGCCAAAAAGCTAAAAGATTAAGGTTACTCTAGCAGTACTTCTTCGGAACTTGCAATACATCTAATAACATGTTCTCTGGACTTTATGCTACACAGAGCTACGACTATGGTTATTTCTTCAAAATTTATTTTAATTTCACGCTGCGGATTCAGACCATCTTTAGAGTTAGTGTGTTGTATGCGGCACTGCTCTTTATGCTGTTTCCTGATTTGAATATGAATCAAGCCGATGACTTCTTCTTCTTTTTTTTTTACTTAAATGTGATATTTACCCGATGTGGGTCACTGTAGGAGAAGGTTAACTTCTTGCACTGTTAGATATCTCAACATCTTTTACACATACTGACCAGAAACGCCAAACGCCTTCTCCTACATCACTCTTAGGCTAAGGGAAAGTGGTCATACTTCTGCAAAATATCATATGGTATGCATTGCATTGTTTCATTCTTGAACTCTAGAACCATCAAATTCCTTTCGAAACTCATAAAACCCGGAATTTTCTTATTAAATTATCATTGTGGTGGAATGTGCATAATAATGTGTCCGATATACCATATACCATATTTCTCTATAGAAACTAGTAAGTCTCTGTTGACTGCAGATTTTTGGCTGTTTCCAGATCCTTGTCTAAATAGTTTATATATTTTTGCTTAATAGGTACAACGTAAAAATCTTACAAGAATAATTCTATTTAACATCGGATTGTTGAGTTTGCGTATTCGGTTGCGTAGATTAGTGACAAATCTGGTAATCTATTTGTTTAGTTTCTGTAATCTATTAGCAGTGTTGTTTGTGAGTATGTAATCATCTAATCCATTACAAACAAGTATCATTTCTCATATGCAGATGAACAAAAAGTGAAAGCCATTTAGGTTCATTTCTAATAAGAATAGTGCCTCATATGACAATAAGATAGAAGTTTATATTTTCATATAAGATGAACATTCTGTGTGTTTTCAGTTTCTTTTAACCTTGACTTATTGCCTAGCTGTTGCACTTTGCATTTCTTGGTATAGTGTAAGTTAGAAATGGGTCTGTCATTAAAAATGTCGTCTTTTGTCCTCATAGTTGGCATTTGTCCCTCTTTCCAGCACATCATACTCCTTTTGTTCATGGCTTTGCACATACAGACACATGAACTGACATCTGCACTCTAAAGTTTGCAGCTATGACCCCATGACCGATCACGATAACCGGAGTCGAAATGCAATGTTTCGATTCATTAGCAAAACGCGTAAAATGCTAAGGATGTTGTAATCTCGTTTGTGCATTGATATCAAAGATATAACATTTGCTTTTGGAATCATAAACACATTGCAGAACAGTATCGTCTCAGTACCGAAACAAAGAAATCAACATATTGTGATCATACATATATGTTATTGAAAGAGAGACCCTGAAAAAGAAAAATACATTTCAACGCTCTCGACCGGACTCTACTTGCAAGGATTGGCTTGACCACCGAGTCCCTTTTTGGATTTACCACTGTTTTCCGAACTCTTTTTCGTTTTTCTTCGCCTCCCTGCCCAAAGAATGCTTGCTAGTTGAATTACACTTGCCATGATTACCTTGACCATCCTTGTGTTTATTATGCTGATGCTGCTGATGATGGCTCGGGGCCAAAGAAGCATCCGATACCATCGAATCATCACTATTTCCAGCACCATCATAGACATCAAATCTGATATTGTGATATAATTCTCTTCACTGCATTCGTAATCTTCTTCCATCGGAGAAGCCAAGTAGCTCGTCCACCCAGATTCACTGCTGCTACATTCGTCGCTGCCGACAAACTGTTTGAAAGGGTCCATTATAAGAAGTTAAAAGCTGGAGAGAGCTATATAGGCAAGAAACTAGCCTATTGTGTATGAAGAAACAGAGAACAATAGTATATATATATTATATTTACACAAAACACACGTGTATCTTTACACTAAAAATTGTCTGTATAGTCACAATGGTGCAGATGAACCAAGTAGCGGAAACTGGATGAAGTATAAGAGAAAGGCATGTTGTGAAAGCATGTTAGGCCACAAACTCCCCACTTTGGCTGGCTTTCATGTCAATGTGTTCCTTTTAATTTGACATAAACAAAAGTGAGGTTTCCTGGATTAAACGTGCACGGTTTGTTTGTGAGGTTTAGCTAAGATGTTTATGCTTTTGTTCCGTCTTTGTTTGGTGTTGTTTGTCCGCTAAGAAAGCTGACCTGTGTCTTGTTTCCTATCGAATTAAACTATATGCCATGTGTTTGCCTTTGCCATTGTGTTTGAATGACTTATATTTATAAACAAACACTGTAACACCCACATACCGATACGGGTGACCCGATCCGAAGTGTCATATTAGGGTCATCAGAGCGACCCACAGTAAAAATCCAGAAAAAAGTTTCAACTTTTGTTAAAACATGTAAGATCATAAAACAATTTATAAATAAAATATAAGTTCAGAAAAAACATTCATATATTACAAACATTATTAAAATCATACAAGTTTCAGCCTCAATATAAAAATCAAATGTGACCTATATTCCCCCTAATTACACTTGTACCATACTCTTTAACCCATGCCAAAGGAACTCCCATTATAGATGTCGATAGTAGCACTGGATCAATTCTTTTAACCTTAAATGGTGAGTAAAGGAGTGAGCTTTGGGAAGCTCAGTAATTCAGAATTACCAAGTGATGCTGAAGGACATGCCGTTAAATGAGAAAACATAAATTTTTCTTATTGATTTAGACGTCTACAGATTTTCGTGAGGAGCTAAGCTTCCATTGATATTTCTTCAAGTAAAAGACAGGAAGGTTATAATTCAGACGAAACATTCAGATGACCAGGTTTAGGAGATCAAAATAGGATGTTTAGTGTATTCCCACGAAACCAGAATAAATAAAATCATAGATTATAAATAGTAATATTTTATTTCAATAAAACAAATTTTTAAAATCATTGTAATATCCTCCATCCGAATACTCCATATGCAGTCCCCCAGAATTGTATCCATAAGGGCTTACCCTAAGCACAAAGCAAAGGAGCCACCCTAAAGGAGTACCTTGGGGCTTATGGGTCTACCCAAGGGATTAGGTCCGTAAGGAATTAGCAGCTTGATCAGAGCTGAATCTCTGTACTCCAAACTCCTACCCATACAATATCCAGTAGAAATCAGATTTAGCAGTACCCTATAATATCAAAATCATGATCCAATAGAATATTGTAAAAATGACTATGTAGTTAATTTAAATCACATTAATGCCCTCTACCCATACACCATATGCAGTTCCCCAGAATTGCATCCATAAGGGCTTATCCCAAGAGCAAAGCAAATGAGCCACCCTAAGGGATTACCTTGGGGGCTATGAGCCTACCCAAGGGTCACCTTAGATCCGTAAGGAATTACTAGCTTGATAAGAGTTAAACCTGCATACTCCAGTATGCTACTCAAAACAATATCTCAATAAAACGATTCACATAGTAAACAGTGAATTCAATGGTCCACAAATCTCCATAATCATATCTTCTAGTAAAAACAAGTAATAATATAACATATATCATATAGCCATGCTACATAATCAGTCAACTTGTATATCAGTAAATCAATAATTTCGGTAAATCACATTTCAAAACAGATAAAACAATCATATGGCATGTAGGGAACACACAAGAAGATTCAGTTATTTTTCGGAGGTATTTGATCATTATCCATAAGGGAAAAGGTAGAATTTTCATAGATTGATCAGATTTCAAGTACGTTGTTCCTATATAAAAAGGGTTCGATTACTAACAGATCTAACCAGACATTTAGGAATTGATACTTCAGTACCATTTAGGATTCAAATATATCAGGAAGGTATTCATGAAATTTACGTCAAAATAATTTAAAATTCATATATAACTAGAGTAATTCCATTATTTTGGCAATCAGGGGCATTTTTGGACCTCTGATTCTTCAAGAGTTCTTAGTAATTTAACTTAATAATGGTTGGGCGATAGTTTGCAATATTCAAGATTATATCGAATCATCAGACTTGAGTCAAGTTACACTAATCAGATTACAACACTACGATATTTGCCAATCATTTGGGTCAAGATACTTCACAGATATTCCCTCCCCAGTACTGATTACACTAGTTGAACGAACCTCCTTTATAATCAACATCGAATAGATCTTCATAAGACAAACAAATATTTTGGTGGTGTTTAATTTATTTATGAATTGCAATAATATCGAGAACGTCGGACATACTTGGGTCGTGATTCACCTTAAATGGCTATACAAAACTTAGGTTTATCGGTGTTTCTAAATTTACTAAGGACATCCACTTATTTTAAGTCGTTAGGTTAACAAGTTGCTTCAACAGTCGATGTTACTTCGATCATCTTAGAATTAAAGGTATTTTGGTTATTTTAGGGTTTAGGGTATTTTGGTCATTTAAACATTGGTTGTTATTTTAGTTGTTTCGCAGCTCGAGGACATTTTAGTATTTCTGATCAAAATCAATCCAAACATATGTTCTTTTTCTGGTAATTTGGTTATGTATGTCTTTTTAGGGTTATTTTTCACTTTTAGGGTCAATCTTGGTCTTTTGCAATGTAAAGGCATTTTTGTAATTTTACTTTATAGGTTTTTTTTCATTTTTATTTTGAAAGAATACTTAATAATTTAATGATAATTTTTCATATTCAAGATTTATATTGAATTATCATGATTGTGGCTGAAATAAGGTTGAACATATCTCAACACCGCAGTACTCACTAATCATTCGAACTGATATCCTTCAAAATATTCACTTCCCAATACTAATTACACTAGTTGACCTAGTCACCATCATACCACCATCAGAACTAATCTTGAGAAAACGAACATATATCCCAATAATATTATTTATTTCAGTATTGCACTAGTATCTAAAGGGACCGACGAGCTTGGGTCATGTTCCAAGACTTTTAGAGGCAGTTCAATGCTTAGGTTTAAGATATTTTTAGGGTTTATCCAAGGTCATCCACTTATTCCAAGTCATTTCCACTATCAGAGGTAAATCATATCATATTTGTATCCTAAGGGCATTTTTGACATTTTATCTAGATCAATATAGGTTTGGAATAGTTAATATTTATTCCCAGCCCAATCATATTTATTTATGCATTAACCAATACCTAACTTATACCATACAACATGCAATGAGTAGTAAAATATTACTTCGATTTACGAGCCACACCGATCAACCATTTAAACTCCATTCGATCGCCGTCAAACTTTAAGTCCATTACCATGGTTTTCAGAACCGGACCGGTTAGCGAACCGTTCATGCTACCGGTTCACTGGTTCAACCGGTCGAATCGGTCCGACCGGTCTGAAAAACCGGACGACGTCATAATTATTTAAAAAATTAAATAAAAATACCAAAATATTAATAAATAATTTTTTATATCACAAGTCATATTTAAGCAAGTCATAACATATATAAGTTAAAAACCATAAAATCAAGTGAAACAAAAGATTCAAATTAACTACAACATAATATTTAAGGTAAAACATATTAAATAATAAATATAATTATATAACTATAATTAAAAAATAAATTTGGGGTTAAAAAATCATAACAAAATGATATTGTTTGGTTTAATTTTTTTAAAAAAAACAATCTCACATGGCTAACAAACATAGAAGAGCATCCAAAAAGTCTAAAGAGTAAAAATATGAGAACAAAACAATCTCACATTGCTAAGAAACATAGAAGCGCATCACAACTAACTTCTATAAATAATAGATGTAATTTTGCATTCAAAATCATGGAGCCTTTTGGTGAGCATTGAGTGAACTATTCTTTCACTTCAATCAAGCTCGAATTTTAGGCTTCAATCGAGCTTCTAATTTTTTTTTGAGTTCAAGCCTTTTTGAGTTCAAGTTTCAATATTATTTTCGAGTTTGAGTTGAACTTGATTATTTTTAGCTTGTGAGTTTGAGTTGAGTTGAGCTTACTTTTAAAGTTTTCAAGTTCGAGTCGAGCTCAGCAATACTCGAGTTCGACTTGGCTCGTTTAACAAACGACGTTGTTTGGTTTAATTTTTTTTTAAAAAAACAAAAATCCCGGTTTTTCCCGATTTTTTTTCAGTTTTTCCGATTTTCAGCCGGTCCGGTTCGAACGGTTCAGCGGTTCTGGAAGGTTCACTAATAGCGGTTCAACCGGTTTAGATTGAACCGGACTAAGCAACGGTTCCCGGTTGAACCGGTTGAACCGACCGATCTGGTCTTGTTTTCAAAACAGAGTCCATTACCATAAAGTCTTAGATACATATCTAACAAATTTACGTCAGAAACAGAACTTAATCGAAAAACCAAATTGAATCTAAAGATAAAAACTGAAAAACGACTTACAGAGTTTGAATTTGGCAAAACAAACTTCAGATTTGGACTTAAGATGTCGAAAAAACATAAATATGGCTTTTCATAAAATTTGACTTTTTGGTCAAACTCAACGATCAATGGTCAAAGTTAAATTCAACTTTGGTCAAAGTCAATGTGTTGACTCAACCGGATTAACTCAGTCGGGTCAAACAGACCCGGTTCAGATCGAATTGAGCAGGTTCGGTTGACGGTGACATGACTGTTTCAGATGACGAACATGGTCGGGTTTTGAGCGCACGGCGAAGATGAGTCCAATGGTGGTGGCAGTGAGGCGAACCAATGAGCAAGGTGGCCGAAATCGAATCAAAACCGAGTGACGACGGGGGTTTCGACGAAGCTTTATAGGTTTCTCCACGGCGAACGAAGACATCTAGCAAAAATTGGCCATAGGGGTTTTGGTCGGACTTCAATAGCGCTTCTATTGAGACGGTTGGAGTCAATCACCCACGAGCGATGACGGAGGAGGAGCGGTGAGGGCTTCGAAAGCCTTTGCTATCAATTCAGACCAAACAATGGTCGATTCGGGTCGTTAACGGTTGAGGACGAGTCTTGGGAGGATGTCGGTTCGTCTGGTGGTGTCGGAACACCACAACGACGACCAAGGAGGGCAAATCGGTGGTCGAAGGCTTGAGGACAAAGGGTTTGTTTTATGAAATTCGATTTGGGGCTAAGGATTTCACGAACACCCCGACGTCTAGAAAATATGTTAAAACCAAAAATATGAAACATAAAATAAGTATTTATTATTTAAAATTATCAACAGTGACCTAGCCCAATTGGTAGAGTGATGGTCGATCATACCTTAGGTTATGAGTTCAAGCCTCCCAACCGCACCTTTATTTTATTTTG